AGAGCATTGGGCTAGTATTCCAAAGGCCGTAGGTTCGATTCCCACCGTGGCCAGGCATATTTTTCAAGCCTGCCTGGTGTGGATATACACTCAGAGTAACATCACAAACATTATATTCACCTGAGTACATAACACCAACACAGAAAAAAATGTGATATTACTTTCTTAACTGTGTTTATCCTAACCCACCCTGTCAACTTTCCCTGTGGGAGGGAACTGGAGCACCCGGAGAATATCCACGACTTTCGGCAGAGCGTTGACAGCAGGGTCTTAGCTAGAGGGCCGTGTTGGCCGTGTTATCGCGGCCAAAAATGGAAAAACACGGCTAGATAAAATGAACGCGGCTTCATTAATTAAATAAGGCCGTGTAGGTTCATAAAATAAGGTGTTACTGCTTACAACAGACAGAATTTCTTCCCATTTTCGTTGTAAGAAAGTTTCTAAAATCTACTGTAATTGATGAAATGGGAACCATATGGTATTATATAAAATGGTTTTAAATACCCCCAAGAGTTGCTGAAAAAACGTAATATTTTAATGTCAGTACGCACTGTGAGCGTAGCCTTGTATTTGGTCGCAAAGCCTACAACAACCACAGGCATTGTCTGTTGTTGGCGAGCATAACTAGAAATACGCACACCCAGGTCATTTAGAAACACGCCCAAGATCTAAAATTCTAGCTAAGACCCTGGTTGACAGACTCTTTTCAAATTAATACGCGTAGCGAAAATTGTACCTATGATCTAAGAGGGGAAAGGCCACTAAATTGCAGGCTTGGTTGACATACCTCATCTTTCCTATGACCGGCACTAAATTGCAGGCTTGGTTGACATACCTCATCTTTCCTATGACCGGCACTAAATTGCAGGCTTGGTTGACATACCTCATCTTTCCTATGACCGGCACTAAATTGCAGGCTTGGTTGACATACCTCATCTTTCCTATGACCGGCACTAAATTGCAGGCTTGGTTGACATACCTCATCTTTCCTATGACCGGCACTAAATTGCAGGCTTGGTTGACATACCTCATCTTTCCTATGATCGGCACTAAATTGCAGGCTTGGTTGACATACCTCATCTTTCTTCAAAGGTGTTCTTGGTCCAACAGTGGAACTCTTCTTTCTCCAACTACCAAAATACGCTGGTCTATTATTCTCACGAAACTGAAGTAGCTTGCCTTTGACTTTGTTAATCTCGTGTTTCGTTTTGGGTTCTGTTGTCTTTAAGTCCGAGGGAAGATCATCATCAATGATCATTATCTCATCCTCATCTCTCTCGGCTGCACTGTTCGTCGTGCTTTCATTCGCTTCTAGTCTTATTTTACGAGCAAGTTCTCGAAGAGCAAGGAGTTCTTCTTTCACCTGATGCAAACTTGCTGTTGCCTATGTATAGAAATATCGTGTCAGGGCTCAGTGTACCGTAGTACGTGTTCTACACACGAAAAAACGCAGAAGTTGTTACAAGTCTGCAAACAAGTTGTTACAAATCTGTTCACAAGCTGTCGACAAGTTGTGTTCGCACTGCTTGTTCTCAATTTAGAACACGCTGTTAAAACAACTTGCAACAAGCTTGATGACATTATCAGACTTGTTACAGGGTTGTTCTAACAAGTCTTGAAAGTAAAAGCTTGAAATTACATCCAATCTAACGCCATAGACGCACAATTCTGACCAGTCAGAATGCAGTTGAAACTATACAGATTTGCTTTCCCACCTGTTGTACTAAATGTTCAGACAATACTTGTTTATCATCTTGAGATAAAGGTTTTCTATACGGAGCACTCGATAACTTCATGAATGGCTTCAGTTCGAACGGCTGGAATTTCGCTTCTTTTGGAACATGTTCTTTTGGCTAGAACAAAAGACAATAGTCTGTAGTAGTCAAATGTCTTCATTTAAGTTGATCTAAACGGTTACATTGATATTTACTGATACAGTAACATGGCAATACCCTAGTATATATACATGAATTTGTGGTTAGTTAGAGCTCGACAACTGGACTCTGTAGCTCAAAGCGCTGTACCGGAATCACAGGGCCGGAAGTTCGATTCCTGTCAGAGGACGCATAGATGAGGTTGACTGAACACATTTCAAAAGAAAGTGGTCGCAAAAAGTTGATCTCGTGACATTTTGCACCAGGTCTTAGATAGAAGGCCATGTTATCGCGGCCAAAAATGTAAAAACACGGTTAGATGAAATGAACGCAGCTTCATTATTTATTTTTGGCCGTGCATGTAGGTTCATAAAATAAGGTGTTGCTATACTGTACATACAGAATTTCTTTGTAAAATCTATTGTAGTTGTTGAGATTGGTAAAAGTGATCCGTGATGTTTTAATGTTTTGATCGATAATGTGCACAGTATAGTTGTTAAAATGGCTTTAAATGCGCCAAGAGTTGCTAAAATGATTTATAGTGCGAAATTTGAGCGTATGCTCATCTGGTTGAAAAGCATAGAACAACCACATGTATAGTCTATTGTTGACAAGCATAACTGGAATCGTGTTTTTGGCTATATTCAAGGTAATTGACATGGGCACACCGTGTAAATTTAGAAGCACGCCAAAGATGTAAAATGCCAGCTAAGACCCTGTTTTGCACTGAATGGAAATCGGCCTTAATAAATGTATATAAATTTCCAGTCGATAATTTCCATCTACAATACCCTTCAACTATTATTCAGTCGAGTGAGATGCCAACAAAGTCTTGATATTTAGTGTAATAGGTCGTCTGGCAGGAAGTTTAGGTCGTAGCATAGGAGGTCGAACAGTTAGCGGTAATTGGCATAAAAATGATTAAAATAGTTAAAATTCAATAAAATTTCACTGCATGTGTTACCGTGGAAATATTCTACCAACTGTTATTGTAGCCACAGGTGTTAATTTAAACCATGCGATGATCAATCTCTGATTGGCAGTGGCGTAGTGAAAGACTAAAGCTAAAAATATCTGATCAACCATGCACACACTAGTACACTACAGCTTAGCATTTCCCTGAAATAAAAAAGCAAACATACTTTTGGTGTGGCTGCGACTTCTTTCTTGATGAAAAAACTGGCAAAAGAGTTCTTTACTTTTTGTTTCTTCAACATCTGCACGAGAGACAAACAAGTAGAGTTAAACGTTTTACTTCTGAAAGTTACTGAAACAACGAAAAAATAACATATATGCATAAATTATCCTACCTCTTCCTCTTCTTTCTTACGCTTTTCTTCATTCTTTAAACTGTCAATAAAAAATGTGGTATTAAAAAGTTTCTTTCCCACGCCAGTTAATGTGTATATCTTACATACTTTCCGGAAGCGTGTATTTTCTGATGATAATTTCGCCGCAGTCAACACAACACAAACACCACAGGCTTTCTCCGACTCTTTTAAAAACACTGGACCAAAAAGGGATCAACTGCACTGGGCCATTCTATTAATAGACCCCCCCCCCATTCAGGGGTCCCTTCATAATTCTCTTAGGATATAAAAAAATTTTGGAACCACCTTGGATGGAATTTGTGGAAGTTACCCCAGAGGATATCTTACTAACCCCGTTAGGATATCATTTTCCCACCCTTGGATATCACTAAAACACCTAATGTTTCCCTTTTTTTTTAGCTAGAACAATTTCCAACACCTACTTTTTATCATCTTCTCTTTTCTTTTTCTCTTCCTCTCTCTTACGTTTCTCCTCCTCTTTCTTCTCCAATTTTTCCTTCCTCTCTTTTTCCTCCTGTTCTTTCTTCTCTATTCTTTCTTTCTCTCGTTGCTTCCTTTGTTCAACTTGTTCCGATTTTTCCTGGTCTTTCTTTTGTTTGGCTTCGATTCTTTCTTTCTGTTTCTCTTCCTTAAGTCGTTCCTTTTCTTTCTTCTTCTCCAGACGCTCCTGCTCGAGAGCCTCCTGACAGTGACGAAAAATGTAAACATGAAGTTATTACATAGTCTAGGGGTCTTAAACAAAAGCCCTATAGGTTTCTAGTAGGCCCCTAGCCTTATTATAGTAAACTTTTATAAACAGGGCTTTCGAATAATAATCTCGTAACAATCTCTTAAATGTACTTAAACATATATCATGAGGATGTCTTAAGTCTGTTGGAAGACAATACTAGATTCCCCTTATTACGTTTTCGTAGCGCTTTGCATTGTGGTTATAGTGGTATCACTGATATTCAAGATGGTTTATTTTCTGTCCTGACCCATGCAAGAACTTTTTAAAAAAGCTAGGGTCAGGTGCGCGATAGCCAACAGCAAAATATTCACGAAAACATTCAATATTTTCACTCGAGGCCGCTATCTTTATCAGTGATACCACTATAACCACAATGCAAAGCGCTACGAAAACGTAATAAGGGGAATCATCAATTCCAAACTCTCGTGACACGGGTTATATACGATCACTAGAAAGTATAAGGGATGGATTAAGTCTGGATTACATATTTTCTTTTTAAAAAACTGAAATATCCCAGTGCGTATGGGTGGATTTACTGGGGGGTTTAGGGGGGAGGGGTTGACCCCTTAGAACCTCTCTAACCCCTCTTATAAAGTGTTGAAGACCCTCTAGATGAGCATTATATGCTCTTAGGGCAAACTATATTCATTAAATATTTATTACTATCGTTCCAATTGAAGTGTTGCTCAAATATTGATTCAATACATTACCTCGGGCTGACCAATTCATTTCATCAAGTTCCTCGAGATATTCATACACTTCCTAGTATAATTGTAAACTTCCTGTTGAAT